ATTTACAATCGCAAAACGTTTCTCCGTGTTAACGCTGACGTGAGGAAAAAAATTCCGCCTCCCTCCCATGCTCCCTCCCCCACTCTAAGAAGTTTCCCATACAAGCAATTGGGCGCCGTTCTAGTTGTTGTTATGCGATGGTGGTGTTATTTTCTTCGTGGATGTAGTAATGCAATATATAATTTACTATGATTTACTGTATCACAAATTTTACTATGTTTTACTGTTTAGAAATTAGTAATAAATAATAAAATATTAGCACTGACTATGAATATGAAAGCAAATACCACAAAAGCCATGCACGTGTAATCGTGTCTAATGTTTGAGAGAACTCGGCTGATAGCTGACTAGTTGTGAAATGGAGTTTCTGCGCGTGAAATTGATTTTCCATCTTTACTTTCATCCTGTAAAGCAATGTGCTTAAAGACTGAAAAGTGATAATTTCGGACTTGATAATTTGGCTCAGTGTGTTTAGATCAGATGCAGAAATTATAGTTTTTGCATTCTACTGAAACTGTATTTCGGAAATTTTTTTTTTTTTATTACAGTTTAGAATTACTTTTTAAAACTTGTTCATGTATATACTTTAACATTTGAATATTATGTACTAATAAATTTGAGCATACCTTACTTAAAAATGATCTTGCATGATTCAATTTTCAGTTGTTCGACTAATGTGGCCCACCAGCGGCCGAGCGGTAACGTCCTGAACACTGGTAGTTCGGTCCGAGGTTCGAATCCCGCGAACGGGCTGGCTGCATGGATGTTTTCGTGGTTTTCCCCATGTGTAACGTGTATACGAGCCAGTTTCCCTTAGAATGTCCTCCACGAAGGCATCCCTCCCCTTAGGCAGATAGCCCTAGTGTGCTTTGCCATAATTAAATACACACGACTAATGTTATATGACCGAGCAAAAAGAAGGTGTTTTTTTATGTCTTAAAAAATGTACTAATTATATCGTGAGCAAAAAAGGTAAGTTTTATTAATGAAGTCAACATTGAAATGTTTAATGTGTTTATTACTTATTGAATGGGGTAGACAAGACATACAAGCTTAAGGATATCTTTTCACCACTACTAAAATTATGGGAAAATTTAGATCATCATAGTAGCTTACATTGGTTTTTCCTTTTTGGTCTATTTTTCTTTACAAGTATGAGACTAGAACCGCATTTTTACATTAAATATTTTGTGTTATTTTGTTAAAACACATATAATCATTTTTATGCATACTTTAATTTTCATTATTATTAGTTTGATGAAGAACATTTCAAATGTGTTTTTCATAAATCGCTTTTGAAATAGAAATAGATTTGTGATTAAGATTTATGTAATATTAAATTTGCTAGTCTTGGGAGTATAAAAAGTGAATTATTTATCTGAAAAAAAATACATTAAGTGAAACCTCATATAGTGGTTATTTTCTTAAACGACAGTGATACATTTGTCAGAAACATAATTAAATAGCACTACTTAGAATCACTCATAGTTTTGTTAGGCTACAGGAAACTGGCATCATATGGAATTGTGGAGTTGATTGTTTTAGGAAAGTTTCAATGTATAATTAATTGATTTAGGTGTAGTAATTTTTACGTGGGTATAAATTTTGCAAAAGTAATAGAAAGTTTTTACAAGACAATTAAAGCCAAAGCTTTTCGGATCAAGAGTCTTGTAATGGCACTGTTTTACCATTGCTTTCAAATATAGTTAGAGTAATATTTAAACATTATGTTCTTTCATTCGTTATACCGCGGAAATGGTAGTTGCAATTTTCTGCACTAAATTTATCTGTTTGTATAGATATTAAAGCAAATAAAACTTTTTGTAAACAAATGTAACTATATGTGATATATCCGCTAATTGCAATTACAGTAATTTTAACTGCATTTGTATAAGGCTGTACAGAAGATTTATTAAATATTGCTAAATACTGCACTATATAAATTTAATTTGGCATTGTAAATACAGAAAATGCTCAGCGTGAGGTATTTTTATATTATATAACCTACTGTCAAAAACAATAGCTACATTTTTAGTACTTTAAATTTTTACTATTTAGAATTTTTATGGTTCAAAATAATATTTCGACATTTTTAGTACTTTAAATTTTTACTATTTAGAATTTTTATGGTTCAAAATAATATTTCGATACACTTTCTAAAGGATTATTTCTACAGTAGAAATCTAAATAAGTTATACCTAAAACACTGACTCAAATTTATTCCAATAATGCATCGCTTTAATTAAATTTATGTTCCTTTGAGATGATATATGAGAAACCTTTTGTAATAATAAATTATTAATATATATAGGTAAATGGTATTTTTATATATTTTTTCGGGTAAAGTGCAGAATCGCCCACTTATGTATTTGGCGTTTGTTTGGCGCTTTTTACAAGAGTAAAATGAATTGGAATTTTGTAAATTTTCTTTTGACTTTTTAAGTGAAAGTAGGTCGATATCATGGATAAAGTCAAAGGAGTGCGCAGTGCCTTTTTTGTGGAATTCTGGGATTTTTTTTTATGTGAAAATAGATCGATGTGTACATGGATACCGAGTATGTGCAATTCTTAAAAACGCGCCAAACAGTGGGCGATTCTACACTTTCCCCATTTTTATATAGGAATTTAGTTTCATTAAATTAGCTATTTAATGAATAGATACTTATAATTATGTGTATATGAGTATATTAATACTTATTCTCATAGATGAAATTTTTACAGTACGAAAGTTAATCTTTTTTACATCAAGAACTTCATATAGTATAAATACCCATTATGTTATAGATTTTATTTATATGAAATCTATGGAAGATTATATAGCACTAAAAGTGAGATACGGAATAAAATATTATACGCTATGAGATATTTCCTTAAATTCCCTAACTGTGCATTGACAATTGTTATTTGTTGAGAATTGTAAATTTTTTAAGTTCGTTTGGTTACAATATAATTTGTTGTATTTTGGGTGTTATTAAGTTTATTATATTTTATCGTCCTGTTTCATTTACCTTTTGAGAGATACAGGTAACATTCAAAATATTGTAATAAGGGGTCGACACATTGTTTCTATATTATTATTTCTTCACTACATTATATTCTAGGTTTCATCCTTTCTTTCACGCAAAACATGTATGTGTATGCGTGTCATAATAAGCTGCAGGGTGTTACTATCAGTAATAAGCGAGCTTTAAGGGGATAGCAAGTATGCTAAATTTGAACTCTATATTAAGTTTCTAATTTGCAAGTCCCTTATTCTTTCTGCTTGCTTGTTAATAGTCTAGTTTTGTTTTTTAATTTGGTTTAGTGCGTTGTAGATAACTTAAAATGTAAGCAGATGCTAGAAAGTACCATTCCTTGGCAATACATTTCTCATTAGGTATCAAATTGTTAAACAAGCGGATGTGATTAAATACCATTGATTACTTTCCCAATTAAAGAACTAAAATACAAATATATGCAGTGAGATACAGTACTATATGTAAATATTTATAATCAAATCAATTATATATATATATATATACAGTCAAAGTAATGATTCACAATCATCAAATGATATGTATATATATGTAATAGATTCTGAAGTCGAATACAAGCAGCTGAATCCGCAATGAACAGCAAGAATTTTGATGGCTTAGAGATGTTGAAACTCCAATCCACGATGAATAAGAAATTTGGCAGTCGAGATAGAATTAATTCAACTTTTCCTCCAGCAAATATGTTGCAGCCACAAACACTTTGGCACATTATTTATGCCTATTCCAAAAATTAACATTTTTGATAAATGTGTAGTAAGAAACAAGGAGCAGACACTGCAATCCAGCTACGCCAAAGCGTAGAAAGCAAATGCGTTATGTTAAGGGTGAAATCTTAGTTCAGACCGAGTTAATTTTGGTTCTCGATGCATTTTTATTTGATAATTAATACTGCTGTAAAATTACTATAGGGTGTTTGAGTTTTAGTTCGTTTTACAACATCAAATAATGTAAGAGTCATATGACATGAACTAATCTCGAATTGATTGTTCGAATTGATGCAGTGCAGAGAAATTACTATTTTTAGAATAGAGAAGGAAAACATTTTACGCTGCTAATTTAATCTTTTGAATATTCTTTATTTTTCTTACATATATATATATATGTACATATGTCATTCAATGGTTGTGAATCATGACTGTGATTATTGTCTTTCTGTTCATTTTATTTTCAAAATTATATAAAGGGAGTTTAAAATTTTGTAAAGAGAATTTATACAAATATTTTGTAATATGTTTATAGATATTGACGTGCATTGAGAAGGACAGAGACTTGTAGGCTTCTGGATATTTTAAGAATTTTATTTATTCGCATTTAATTTTATTTAAAATTACTCTACATGCTTTCTCTGCCATTTAATTCTGTACATTTCATCAGTGCTTTATGTTTTTATGGAAATTTGATCTACAGTTCTATTTTTGTGTATTGTTTTTATAGGAATTCTGTATATGGATACCCGTTCTATGTACGATTCTATGTATGGTTACTCCACTATGATATAATTCTATTGGTTTTGTTTATGGTTTTGTTTATGTACTGTTTTATGCAGCGATTTTTCCAAGAGGTACCTTAATTGGTCTGTGAATTTTTGTGTAGTGGTTTTTACAGGATTTCGCCTATGGGAGCCTGTATAGGCGTACGTGCTTTTGTCTACTGGTTTTTACGAAGCACAGACCTAAGAAATATCTGTTTTTTAATGGAGATTTGGCCAATGGATATGCATAAAGTTCTGATTTCTGGCTATGGGTTTTTACTGGGATTTCGTTTATGGTGTCTACAGGTTTCTACAGAGATTTGGCCTACTCGTATCTGTACAGTCGTACGGGTTTCTGTTTCAGGTTTTTTACGGGTATTTAATCTTCGGGTACTCGTGCAGCTGTGCAGGTTTCTTTCTATGGGTATTTGGCCTACGGGTACCCGTACAACTGTACGGGTTTCTGTCTGTGGGTTTTTACCGTGATTTGGCCTATGGGTATCCGCAGAGATGTATGGGTACCCGTAGGCCAATTCCCCGTGAAAAAATTATGTGTTTCTACGGGGCATTTTAAGCAGGGTTTACTTCATAGAAATAATAGTAACGAAAACGTTTGGACCAATATTCAAGAATTGAGATTTTATTTTCAGAAGCATAATGTTCTAAAGCAAAGTTTTTCACTTTCCGCTGCAGCAATTATTCCTGTAGTTGTTGTATATTAAGTTTAAAAAAATATTTGAGCTCTAATCCTGTACTCTGTTGACTTCTTTATGTTAAGGACATGAAAATTCTGTTATGTTACACATGGATTTAGACATGTTAAATCAAAGTTATATGTCGTCGAAAAATATTATCTGCATTTGGAAAGATTTGGTGCCGCAGTCAAACAGGTAAAGAAATGCGTTGTTGAGAAAGAAAACGATACGAAAAAATATACTGATACAGGCCCCGAAACCGGAATAACAATATAAATCTGGAAAAATTGCACTGAATTCCAAGAAATAAAAACGTAAACGCATATGCCTTGTCGAGAGGGCCGTTACGTTATTATAACTCAAAATTAACCGGAAACTCTTGAGGGCTGCGATATAACTCATTCAGATTTTAATTTAGGTGGTTGTGATTAGTTTGCTTTGAGAAAAGATGTATGCCGTGGTATTACAATTTGAACTGCATTACTCTTAGAAGCTTTTACATAATTTTAAAACAACAATTGTTAAAGATCATTTTAGAGTTATTTATTCGAAATATGGAAATGAACCTGAAGAATATGTTAGTAAATTAACAAGCTTATCTCTTTTACATAATAATAAAACAAATTAGCAAGTATGTCAATTAGTAAGATTATACGCTTTTACATAATTTTAAAACAAAATATGTTAAAGATTATTTTAACGTGTAATATTTATTCAAGATAAGGAAATGGACCCTACGCTTATGTTAGTAAATTAGCAAGATTATCGAAGCGAAATGGAGCGAGAGCGAATAACGAAAAAGTAAAGATTTTCCGAAATCACAATCCGATATTTCACAGAAACAGGCAATTTACGAACATACATCTTTATAGATTATCTCAGATAGTGATATATTCTGAATTAGCGATATTCTATTTTATTATGTTTCTCAGCTTCGAGGATATTCTTGTTAAACACTATAGTTTAAACCAAAGTTGAGCTAAGTTCTTCAGAGTTATAAATATTGCTTATTATTTCGTTTTAGGTGGTGATGCAGGTGGCGCAAATGGAGCTGGAGAATCACAGAATGCAGGTGTGTAGCATTCCAAAATATTATTTTTTTTGTTACAGTATTAAAATAAATATTACGGGCAAGGATTTTTGAGAAGATATCAATATTTCTTCAGTAACATTTTCCAAATACTACAGAAACATTCATCATGTGATATGCTTATGCAACCGAACTGTTTTTAATGTTCTCCACGAAAAAAGGATTGTTTTGCATCTGCACAAACTTCCTCGAAAACAAATTCTAGTGATGTAATATAAGTATTCCTTTCCTTCTGCTGTACCTTTGAACTTTGCTTTAATACCTTTTTATATGGAAAGATTCATATATGGAGAGGAAGATAAACGTATTTGTGAAGATCTTTCGCCTTCTTTTAAGCTTTTAAAAGTTTTTAAAACAAAATATGTTAAAGGTTACTTTAGCGTGTATAGTTTATTCGAAATAAGGAAATGAACCTTGCGATTATGTTATTGAATTAACAAGCTTATCCCTTTTACATAATTTTAAAACAAATTAGCAAGTATGTAAATTAGCAAGCTTATAAGCTTTTACATAATTGTAAAACAAAATATCTTAAAGATTATTTTAGCGTGTATTATTTATTCGAGATAAGGAAACGAACCTTAGGCTTATGTTAGTAAATTAGCAAGCTTATCGAGGCCAAATGGAAAAGAGAACGAATAACGAAAAATTAAAGAATTTCCGTAATCACAATCCGATTGTTCACACAAACAGGGAATTTATGAATATACATCTTTGTAGAATATCTCAGATAGTGATATATTCAGAATTAGCGATATTCTATTATGTTATGATTCTCAGCTTCGACGATATTTTTGTTAAACACTAAAATTTAAAGCAAAGGAGAACTACGTTATTCAGAGTTATATATATATTGCTTATTATTTTATTTCAGGTGGTGATGCAGGTGGCGAAACTGGAGCTGGCGAATCAGAAAATGCAGGTGTGTAGCATTCCAAAATATTGTTGTTTTTGTTACAGTAGGAAAATAAATATTTCGGGCAAGGATTTTTGCGGACTTATTAATATTTCTTCGCAACATTTTCTAAATACTACAGAAATATTCATCATGTGATATACTTACGCAAACAAACTGTTTTTAACGTTTTCCACGAAAAAATGATTGTTTTGTATCTACACAATCTTCCTTCAAAACAAATTATAGTGTTGTAATATAAGTATTCCTTTCCTTCTGCTCTTCGTTTGAACTTTGCTTTAATACCTTTTTATATGGAAAGATTCATATATGCAGACGAAGTTAAACGTATTTGTGAAGATCTTTCGTGTTCTTATAAGCTTCCACATAATTTTAAAACAAAATATGTTAAAGATTACTATAGCGTGTATTATTTATTCGAAATAAAGAAATGAATCTTGCGATTATGTTAGTAAATTAACATGCTTGTCTCTTTTACATAATTTTAAAACAAATTAGCAAGTATATAATTTATCAAGCTTATAAGCTTTTACATTATTTTAAAACAAAATATGTTAAAGATTATTTTAGCGTGTATTATTTATTCAAAATAAGGAAATGAACCTTAGGCTTATGTTAGTAAATTAGCAAGCTTATCGAGGGAAATGGAAAGAGAGCGAATAATGAAAAAGTAAAGATTTTCCGAAATCACAAACCGATTCTTCACACAAACAGGGAATTTATGAATATGCATCTTTATACAATATCTCAGATAGTGATGTATTTTGAATTAGCGATAGTATATTTCGTTATGTTTCTCAGATTCGACGATACTCTCGTTAAACACTACAATTTAAAGCAAAGGTGAATCCAAGTTATTCAGAGTTATAAATATTGCTTATTATTTTATTTCAGGTGGTGATGCAGGTGGCGCAACTGGAGCTGGACAATCTGAAGATGCAGGTGTGTAGCATTCCAAAATATTATTATTTTTGTTAGAGTAGCAAAATTTATATTACTGGCTAAAATTTTTGCAGATTTATCAATATTCCTTCAGCCACATTTTCCAAATACTACAGAAATATTTATCATGTGATATGCTTATGCAATCGAACTGTTTTTAATGTTCTGCACGAAAAAATGATTGTTTTGCATCTACACAAACAACCTCGAAAACATATTCTGGTGTTGTAATATAAGTATTCCTTTCCTTCTGCTGTACCTTTGAACTTTGCTTTAATACCTATTTATATGGAAAGATTCATATATACAGACGAAGTTAAACGTATTTGTGAAGATCTTTCGTGTTCTTATAAGCTTCCACATAATTTTAAAACAAAATATGTTAAAGATTACTATAGCGTGATAGCGTGTATAATTTATTCGAAATAAAGAAATGAATTTTGCGATTATGTTAGTAAATTAACATGCTTATCTCTTTTACATAATTTTAAAACAAATTAGCAAGTATATAATTTATCAAGCTTATAAGCTTTTACATTATTTTAAAACAAAATATGTTAAAGATTATTTTAGCGTGTATTATTTATTCAAAATAAGGAAATGAACCTTAGGCTTATGTTAGTAAATTAGCAAGCTTATCGAGGGAAATGGAAAGAGAGCGAATAATGAAAAAGTAAAGATTATCCGAAATCACAAACCGATTCTTCACACAAACAGGGAATTTATGAATATGCATCTTTATACAATATCTCAGATAGTGATGTATTTTGAATTAGCGATAGTATGTTTCGTTATGTTTCTCAGCTTCGACGATATTCTCGTTAAACACTACAATTTAAAGCAAAGGTGAATTAAGTTATTCAGAGTTATAAATATTGCTTATTATTTTATTTCAGGTGGTGATGCAGGTGGCGCAACTGGAGCTGGAGAATCTGAAGATGCAGGTGTGTAGGATTCCAAAATATTATTATTTTTGTTAGAGTAGCACAATTTATATTACTGGCTAAAATTTTTGCAGAGTTATCAATATTCCTTCAGCCACATTTTCCAAATACTACAGAAATATTTATCATGTGATATGCTTATGCAATCGAACTGTTTTTAATGTTTTCCACGAAAAAATGATTGTTTTGCATCTACACAAACATCCTCGAAAACAAATTCTAGTGTTGTAATATAAGTATTGTGAAGATCTTTCGTGTTCTTATAAGCTTCCACATAATTTTAAAACAAAATATGTTAAAGGTTACTATAGCGTGTATTATTTATTCGAAATAAAGAAATGAATCTTGCGATTATGTTAGTAAATTAACATGCTCATCTCTTTTACATAAGTTTAAAACAAATTAGCATGTATGTAAATTAGCAAGCTTATAAGCTTTTACATTATTTTAAAACAAAATATGTTAAAGATTATTTTAGCGTGTACTATTTATTCAAAATAAGGAAATGAACCTTAGGCTTATGTTAGTAAATTAGCAAGCTTATCGAGGGAAATGGAAAGTGAGCGAATAATGAAAAAGTAAATATTTTCCGAAATCACAATCCGATTCTTCACGCAAACAGGGAATTTATGAATGTACATCTTCGTAGAATATCTCAGATATTGATATATTCTGAATTAGCGATATTCTATTATATTATGATTCTCAGCTTCGACGATGTTCTTGTTAAACAGTACAATTTAAACCACAGGTGAGATAAGTTATTCAGAGTTAAAAATACTGCTTATTATTTCACTTTAGGTGGTGATGCAGGTGGCGCAACTGGAGCTGGAGAATCAGAAAATGCAGGTGTGTAGCATTCCAAAAATATTATTTTTTGTTACAGTAGCAAAATAAATATTACGGGCAAGGATTTTTGCGGACTATTAATATTCTTCGGCAACATTTTGCAAATACAAGAGAAATATTCATCATGTGATATACTTACGCAAACAAACTGTTTTTAATGTTTTCCAAGAAAAAATTATTCTTTTGCATCTACACAAATCTTCCTTCAAAAACAAATTCTTGTGTTGTAATATAAGTATTCCTTTCCTTATTGTGTTTTTGTAACTTTGCTTTAATACCTTTTTCAATGGAAAGATTCATATATGCAGACGAAGTTAAACGTATTTGTGAAGATCTTTCGTGTTCATATAAGCTTCCACATAATTTTCAAACAAAATAGTACTAAAGAGATACTATAGCGTGTATTATTTATTCGAAATAAAGAAATGAATCTTGCGATTATGTTAGTGAATTAACATGCTTATCTCTTTTACATAATTTTAAAACAAATTAGCAAGTATATAATTTATTAAGCTTATAAGCTTTTACATTATTTTAAAACAAAATATGTTAAAGATTATTTTAGCGTGTATTATTTATTCAAAATAAGGAAATGAACCTTAGGCTTATGTTAGTAAATTAGCAAGCTTATCGAGGGAAATGGAAAGAGAGCGAATAATGAAAAAGTAAAGATTTTCCGAAATCACAATCCGATTCTTCACACAAACAGGGAATTTATGAATATGCATCTTTATACAATATCTCAGATAGTGATGTATTTTGAATTAGCGATAGTATCTTTCGTTATGTTTCTCAGCTTCGACGATATTCTGGTTAAACACTACAATTTAAAGCAAAGGTGAATTAAGTTATTCAGAGTTATAAATATTGCTTATTATTTTATTTCAGGTGGTGATGCAGGTGGCGCAACTGGAGCTGGAGAATCTGAAGATGCAGGTGTGTAGGATTCCAAAATATTATTATTTTTGTTAGAGTAGCAAAATTAATATTACTGGCTAAAATTTTTGCAGAGTTATCAATATTCCTTCAGTCACATTTTGCAAATACTACAGAAATATTTATCATGTGATATGCTTATGCAATCGAACTGTTTTAATGTTCTCCACGAAAAAATGATTGTTTTGCATCTACACAAACATCCTCGAAAACAAATTCTAGTGTTGTAATATAAGTATTCCTTTCCTTCTGCTGTACCTTTGAAATTTGCTTTAATACCTTTTTATATGGAAAGATTCATATATGCAGACGAAGTTAAACGTATTTGTGAAGATCTTTCGTTTTCTTATAAGCTTCCACATAATTTTAAAACAAAATATGTTAAAGATTACTATAGCGTGTATAATTTATTCGAAATAAAGAAATGAATCTTGCGATTATGTTAGTAAATTAACATGCTTATCTCTTTTACATAATTTTAAAACAAATTAGCAAGTATATAATTTATCAAGCTTATAAGCTTTTACATTATTTTAAAACAAAATATGTTAAAGATTATTTTAGCGTGTATTATTTATTCAAAATAAGGAAATGAACCTTAGGCTTATGTTAGTAAATTAACAAGCTTATCGAGGTAAATGGAAAGAGAGCGAATAATGAAAAAGTAAAGATTTACCGAAATCACAAACCGATTCTTCACACAAACAGGGAATTTATGAATATGCATCTTTATACAATATCTCAGATAGTGATGTATTTTGAATTAGCGATAGTATGTTTCGTTATGTTTCTCAGCTTCGACGATATTCTCGTTAAACACTACAATTTAAAGCAAAAGTGAATTAAGTTATTCAGAGTTATAAATATTGCTTATTATTTTATTTCATGTGGTGATGCAGGTGGCGCAACTGGAGCTGGAGAATCTGAAGATGCAGGTGTGTAGGATTCCAAAATATTATTATTTTTGTTAGAGTAGCAAAATTAATATTACTGGCTACAATTTTTGCAGGTTATCAATATTCCTTCAGCCACATTTTGCAAATACTACAGAAATATTTATCATGTGATATGCTTATGCAATCAAACTGTTTTTAATGTTCTCCACGAAAAAATGATTGTTTTGCATCTAGACAAACATCCTCGAAAACATATTCTGGTGTTGTAATATAAGTATTCCTTTCCTTCTGCTGTACGTGTGAACTTTGCTTTAATACCTTTTTATATGGAAAGATTCATATATGCAGACGAAGTTAAACGTATTTGTGAAGATCTTTGGTGTTCTTATAAGATTTCACATAATTTTAAATCAAAATATGTTAAAGATTACTGTAGCGTGTATTATTTATTCGAAATAAAGAAATGAATCTTGCAAATATGTTAGTAAATTAACATGCTCATCTCTTTTACATAAGTTTAAAACAAATTAGCATGTATGTAAATTAGCAAGCTTATAAGCTTTTACATTATTTTAAAACAAAATATGTTAAAGATTATTTTAGCGTGTACTATTTATTCAAAATAAGGAAATGAACCTTAGGCTTATGTTAGTAAATTAGCAAGCTTATCGAGGGAAATGGAAAAAGAGCGAATAATGAAAAAGTAAAGATTTTCCGAAATCACAATCCGATTCTTCACGCAAACAGGGAATTTATGAATGTACATCTTCGTAGAATATCTCAGATAGTGATATATTCTGAATTAGCGATATTCTATTATATTATGATTCTCAGCTTCGACGATGTTCTTGTTAAACAGTACAATTTAAACCACAGGTGAGATAAGTTATTCAGAGTTAAAAATACTGCTTATTATTTCACTTTAGGTGGTGATGCAGGTGGCGCAACTGGAGCTGGAGAATCAGAAAATGCAGGTGTGTAGCATTCCAAAATATTATTGTTTTTGTTACAGTAGCAAAATAAATATTACGGGCAAGGATTTTTGCGGACTTATCAATATTTCTTCGGCAACATTTTCCAAATACTAGAGAAATATTCATCATGTGATATACTTACGCAAACAAACTGTTTTTAATGTTTTCCAAGAAAAAATTATTGTTTTGCATCTACACAATCTTCCTTCAAAACAAATTCTAGTGTTGTAATATAAGTATTCCTTTCCTTATTGTGTTTTTTTGTAACTTTGCTTAATACCTTTTTCAATGGAAAGATTCATATATGCAGACGAAGTTAAACGTATTTGTGAAGATCTTTCGTGTTCATATAAGCTTCCACATAATTTTCAAACAAAATATGTTAAAGAATACTATAGCGTGTATTATTTATTCGAAATAAAGAAATGAATCTTGGCGATTATGTTAGTGAATTAACATGCTTATCTCTTTTACATAATTTTAAAACAAATTAGCAAGTATGTAAATTAGCAAGCTTATAAGTTTTACATTATTTTAAAACAAAATATGTTAAAGATCATTTTAGCGTGTATTATTTATTCAAAATAAGGAAATGAACCTTAGGCTTGTGTTAGTAAATTAGCAAGCTTATCGAGGGAAATTGTAAGAGAGCGAATAATGAAAAAGTAAAGATTTTCCGAAATCACAAATTCATTCTTCACACAAACAGGGAATTTATATATATACATCTTTGTAGAATATCTCAGATAGTGATATATTCTGAATTAGCGATAGTATCTTTCGTTATGTTTCTCAGCTTCGACGATATTCTGGTTAAACACTACAATTTAAAGCAAAGGTGAATTAAGTTATTCAGAGTTATAAATATTGCTTATATTATTTTTTCAGGTGGTGATGCTGGTGGCGCAACTGGAGCTGGAGAATCTGAAGATGCAGGTGTGTAGGATTCCAAAATATTATTATTTTTGTTAGAGTAGCAAAATTAATATTACTGGCTAAAATTTTTGCAGAGTTATCAATATTGCTTCAGTCACATTTTGCAAATACTACAGAAATATTTATCATGTGATATGCTTATGCAATCGAACTGTTTTTAATGTTCTCCACGAAAAAATGATTGTTTTGCATCTACACAAACATCCTCGAAAACAAATTCTAGTGTTGTAATATAAGTATCCCTTTCCTTCCTCTGTACCTTTGAAATTTGCTTTAATACCTTTTTATATGGAAAGATTCATTTTTCCAGACGAAGTTAAACGTATTTGTGAAGATCTTTCGTTTTCTTATAAGCTTCCACATAATTTTAAAACAAAATATGTTAAAGATTACTATAGCGTGTATTATTTATTCGAAATAAAGAAATGAATCTTGCGATTATGTTAGTAAATTAACAAGCTTATCTCTTTTACATAATTTTAAAACAAATTAGCAAGTATATAAATTAGCAAGCTTATAAGCTTTTACATTATTTTAAAACAAAATATGTTAAAGATTATTTTAGCGTGTATTATTTATTCAAAATAAGGAAATGAAACTTAGGCTTATGTTAGTAAATTAGCAAGCTTATCGAAGGAAATGGAAAGAGAGCGAATAATGAAAAAGTAAAGATTTTCCGAAATCACAATCCGATTCTTCACACAAACAGGGAATTTATGAATATGCATCTTTATACAATATCTCAGATAGTGATGTATTTTGAATTAGCGATAGTATGTTTCGTTATGTTTCTCAGCTTCGACGATATTCTCGTTAAACACTACAATTTAAAGCAAAGGTGAAATTAAGTTATTCAGAGTTATAAATATTGCTTATTATTTTATTTCAGGTGGTGATGCAGGTGGCGCAACTGGAGCTGGAGAATCTGAAGATGCAGGTGTGTAGGATTCCAAAATATTATTATTTTTGTTAGAGTAGCAAAATTATATTACTGGCTAAAAGTTTTGCAGAGTTATCAATATTCCTTCAGCCACATTTTCCAAATACTACAGAAATATTTATCATGTGATATGCTTATGCAATCGAACTGTTTTTAATGTTCTCCACGAAAAAATGATTGTTTTGCGTCTACACAAACATCCTTGAAAACATATTCTGGTGTTGTAATATAAGTATTCCTTTCCTTCTGCTGTACCTTTGAACTTTGCTTTAATACCTTTTTATATGGAAAGATTCATATATGCAGCCGAAGTTAAACGTATTTGTGAAGATCTTTCGTGTTCTTATAAGCTTCCACATAATTTTAAAACAAAATTTGTTAAAGATTACTATAGCGTGTATTATTTATTCGAAATAAAGGAATGAATCTTGCGATTATGTTAGTAAATTAACATGCTTGTCTCTTTTACATAATTTTAAAACAAATTAGCATGTATGTAAATTAGCAAGCTTATAAGCTTTTACATTATTTTAAAACAAAATATGTTAAAGATTATTTTAGCGTGTATTATTTATTCAAAATAAGGAAATGAACCGTGGGCTTATGTTAGTAAATTAGCAAGCTTATCGAGGGAAATGAAAGAGAGCGAATAATGTAAAAGTAAAGATTTTCCGAAATCACACACCGATTCTTCACACAAACAGGGAATTTATGAATATGCATCTTTATACAATATCTCAGATAGTGATGTATTTTGAATTAGCGATAGTATGTTTCGTTAGGTTTCTCAGCTTCGACGATATTCTCGTTAAACACTACAATTTAAAGCAAATGTGAATTAAGTTATTCAGAGTTATAAATATTGCTTATTATTTTTTATTTCAGGTAGTGATGCAGGTGGCGCAACTGGAGCTGGAGAATCTGAAGATGCAGGTGTGTAGGATTCCAAAATATTATTATTTTTGTTAGAGTAGCAAAATTTATATTACTGGCTAAAAGTTTTGCAGAGTTATCAATATTCCTTCAGCCACATTTTCCAAATACTACAGAAATATTTATCATGTGATATGCTTATGCAATCGAACTGTTTTTAATGTTCTCCACGAAAAAATGATTGTTTTGCATCTACGCAAACATCCTCGAAAACATATTCTGGTGTTGTAATATAAGTATTCCTTTCCTTCTGCTGTACCTTTGAACTTTGCTTTAATACTGTTTTATATGGAAAGATTCATATATGCAGACGAAGTTAAACGTATTTGTGAAGATCTTTCGTGTTCTTATAAGCTTCCACATAATTTTAAAACAAAATATGTTAAAGATTACTATAGCGTGTATTATTTATTCGAAATAAAGGAAATGAATCTTGCGATTATGTTAGTAAATTAACATGCTTATCTCTTTTACATAATTTTAAAACAAATTAGCAAGTATGTAAATTAGCAAGCTTATAAGCTTTTACATTATTTTAAAACAAAATATGTTAAAGATTATTTTAGCGTGTATTATTTATTCAAAATAAGGAAATGAACCGTGGGCTTATGTTAGTAAATTAGCAAGCTTATCGAGGGAAATAAAAGAGAGCGAATAATGTAAAAGTAAAGATTTTCCGAAATCACAATCCCATTCTTCACACAAACAGGGAATTTATGAATATGCATCTTTATACAATATCTCAGATAGTGATGTATTTTGAATTAGCGATAGTATGTTTCGTTAGGTTTCTCAGCTTCGACGATATTCTCGTTAAACACTACAATTTAAAGCAAATGTGAATTAAGTTATTCAGAGTTATAAATATTGCTTATTATTTTATTTCAGGTGGTGATGCAGGTGGCGCAACTGGAGCTGGAGAATCTGAAGATGCAGGTGTGTAGGATTCCAAAATATTATTATTTTTGTTAGAGTAGCAAAATTTATATTACTGGCTAAAATTTTTGCAGAGTTATCAATATTCCTTCAGCCACATTTTCCAAATACTACAGAAATATTTATCATGTGATATGCTTATGCAATCGAACTGTTTTTAATGTTCTCCACGAAAAAATGATTGTTTTGCATCTACACAAACATCCTCGAAAACATATTCTGGTGTTGTAATATAAGTATTCCTTTCCTTCTGCTGTACCTTTGAACTTTGCTTTAATACCTTTTATATGGAAAGATTCATATATGCAGACGAAGTTAAACGTATTTGTGAAGATCTTTCGTGTTCTTATAAGCTTCCACATAATTTTAAAACAAAATATGTTAAAGATTACTATAGCGTGTATTATTTATTCGAAATAAAGAAATGAATCTTGCGATTATGTTAGTAAATTAACATGCTTATCTCTTTTACATAATTTTAAAACAAATTAGCAAGTATATAATTTATCAAGCTTATAACCTTTTACATTATTTTAAAACAAAATATGTTAAAGATTATTTTAGCGTGTTTTATTTATTCAAAATAAGGAAATGAACCTTAGGCTTATGTTAGTAAATTAGCAAGCTTATCGAGGGAAATAAAAGAGAGCGAATAATGTAAAAGTAAAGATTTTCCGAAATCACAGACCGATTCTTCACACAAACAGGGAATTTATGAATATGCATCTTTATACAATATCTCAGATAGTGATGTATTTTGAATTAGCGATAGTATGTTTCGTTAGGTTTCTCAGCTTCGACGATATTCTCGTTAAACACTACAATTTAAAGCAAATGTGAATTAAGTTATTCAGAGTTATAAATATTGCTTATTATTTTATTTCAGGTGGTGATGCAGGTGGCGCAACTGGAGCTGGAGAATCTGAAGATGCAGGTGTGTAGGATTCCAAAATATTATTATTTTTGTTAGAGTAGCAAAATTTATATTACTGGCTAAAATTTTTGCAGAGTTATCAATATTCCTTCAGCCACATTTTCCAAATACTACAGAATTATTTATCATGTGATATGCTTATGCAATCGAACTGTTTTTAATGTTCTCCACGAAAAAATGATTGTTTTGCGTCTACACAAACATCCTTGAAAACATATTCTGGTGTTGTAATATAAGTATTCCTTTCCTTCTGCTGTACCTTTGAACTTTGCTTTAATACCTTTTTATATGGAAAGATTCATATATGCAGACGAAGTTAAACGTATTTGTGAAGATCTTTCGTGTTCTTATAAGCTTCCACATAATTTTAAAACAAAATAAGTTAAAGATTACTATAGCGTGTATTATTTATTCGAAATAAAGAAATGAATCTTGCGATTATGTTAGTAAATTAACATGCTTATCTCTTTTACATAATTTTAAAACAAATTAGCAAGTATGTAATTAGCAAGCTTATAAGCTTTTACATTATTTTAAACAAAAATATGTTAAAGATTATTTTAGCGTGTTTTATTTATTCAAAATAAGGAAATGAACCCTTAGGCTTATGTTAGTAAATTAGCAAGCTTATCGAGGGAAATGAAAGAGAGCGAATAATGTAAAAGTAAAGATTTTCCGAAATCACACACCGATTCTTCACACAAACAGGGAATTTATGAATATGCATCTTTATACAATATCTCAGATAGTGATGTATTTTGAATTAGCGATAGTATGTTTCGTTAGGTTTCTCAGCTTCGACGATATTCTCGTTAAACACTACAATTTAAAGCAAATGTGAATTAAGTTATTCAGAGTTATAAATATTGCTTATTATTTTATTTCAGGTGGTGATGCAGGTGGCGCAACTGGAGCTGGAGAATCTGAAGATGCAGGTGTGTAGGATTCCAAAATATTATTATTTTTGTTAGAGTAGCAAAATTTATATTACTGGCTAAAAGTTTTGCAGAGTTATCAATATTCCTTCAGCCACATTTTCCAAATACTACAGAAATATTTATCATGTGATATGCTTATGCAATCGAACTGTTTTTAATGTTCTCCACGAAAAAATGATTGTTTTGCATCTACACAAACATCCTCGAAAACATATTCTGGTGTTGTAATATAAGTATTCCTTTCCTTCTGCTGTACCTTTGAACTTTGCTTTAATACCTTTTTATATGGAAAGATTCATATATGCAGACGAAGTTAAACGTATTTGTGAAGATCTTTCGTGTTCTTATAAGCTTCCACATAATTTTAAAGCAATACTTGTTAAAGACCATTTTAGCGTGTATTATTTATTCGACATAAGGAAATGAATCTTGCGATTATGTTAGTAAATTAACATGCTTATCTCTTTACATAAGTTTTAAAACAAATTAGCAAGTATGTAATTAGCAAGCTTATAAGCTTTTACATTATTTTAAAACAAAATATGTTAAAGATTATTTTAGCGTGTATTATTTATTCAAAATAAGGAAATGAACCGTGGGCTTATGTTAGTAAATTAGCAAGCTTATCGAGGGAAATAAAAGAGAGCGAATAATGTAAAAGTAAAGATTTTCCGAAATCACAATCCGATTCTTCACACAAACAGGGAATTTATGAATATGCATCTTTATACAATATCTCAGATAGTGATGTATTTTGAATTAGCGATAGTATGTTTCGTTATGTTTTCTCAGCTTCGACGATATTCTCGTTAAAAACACTACAATTTAAAGCAAATGTGAATTAAGTTATTCAGAGTGTAAATATTGCTTATTATTTTATTTCAGGTGGTGATGCAGGTGGCGCAACTGGAGCTGGAGAATCTGAAGATGCAGGTGTGTGTAGGATTCCAAAATATTATTTTTTTTTGTTAGAGTAGCAAAATTATATTACTGGCTAAAAGTTTTGCAGAGTTATCAATATTCCTTCAGCCACATTTTCCAAATACTACAGAAATATTTATCATGTGATATATGCTTATGCAATCGAACTGTTTTTAATGTTCTCCACGAAAAAATGATTGTTTTGCATCTACACAACATCCTCGAAAACATATTCTGGTGTTGTTGTAATATAAGTATTCCTTTCCTTCTGCTGTACCTTTGAACTTTGCTTTAATACCTTTTTATATGGAAAGATTCATATATGCAGACGAAGTTAAACGTATTTGTGAAGATCTTTCGTGTTCTTATAAGCTTCCACATAATTTAAAACAAAAAATGTTAAAGATTATAGGCGTATTATTTTATTCAAATAAAGAAATGAATCTTGCGATTATGTTAGTTAAATTAACATGCTTATCTCTTTACATAATTTAAACAAATTAGCAAGTATGTAAATTATCAAGCTATAACCTTTTACATTTTTTTAACAAAATATGTTAAAGATTATTTTAGCGTGTTTTTATTCAAATAAGGGAAATGAACCGGGGCTTATGTAGTAAATTGCTTATCGAGGGGGAATAAAGAGAGCGAATAATGTAAAAGTAAAGATTTTCCGAAATCACGACCGATTCTTCACACAAACAGGGAATTATGAATAGCATCTTTATAAATATCTCAGATAGTGATTGTATTTGAATTGCGATAGTATGTTTCGTTAGGTTTCTCATATTCTCGTTAACACTCAATTTAAAAAATGTGAATTAAGTTATTCAGAGTTAAATATTGCTTATATTTTATTTCAGGTGGTGATGCAGGTGGCGCAAACTGGAGTGAAGAATCTGAAGATGCAGGGTGTAGGATTCCAAATATTATTATTTTGTTTAGGCAAAATTATAAAAGTTGCAGAGTTATCAAATCCTTCAGCCACATTTTCCAAATACTACAGAAAATTTATCATGTGATATGCTATGCAATCGAACTGTTTTAATGTTCTCCACGAAAAAATGATGTTTGCGTC